GGGGCCCAATGGGCGGCGGGAACGCGCCTGGGGGGGAGGGGAGAGCGCGGCGGGTGCGCGCACGCAGGCAAGGCGCGGCCCCGCGGCCGTGCGTGCGCGCTCCCGGCCCCCCCCCGCCTTCCCCTCTCTCTCTGTCCCTCTCTCTCCCTCTCTCCGCCGCGTTCGGCCGGCTGTGCCCCCCCTTTGTGCGCGCTCCGAGCCGCCCCCGCATCGCCGACTCGCCATGGCCGACGAGAAGCCCAAGGTGAGGCCGGCGCGCTCCGCAGCTCCCGCCGCCGCCCTCGGCCCCTCAGGCGGCGGCCCCGGCCCGCGGCCCCCGCGCCGTCTTTGCGCGCCATTTTCCTGCGCGGGTGGGGGGGGCCGAGGCCGCGGCTCCCGGGGCGGGCGGGGGATCCCCGGGGAGAGGGGGGGGCGAGCCCGGGCTGCCTTCCCGCCCTCCGCGGGGAGAGAGGCAGGTCTGGAGGCGGTTGTTGCTGCCTTCCTCCTCCTCCTCCTCCTCCTCCGCGGCCGCAGCATCCTCGCCGCCTGCCTCTGCAGCCGCTGCCCTCACGGTCCCCGCACGGCTCCGGCCCCTTTGTGCCGCCTCCGGCCCCGCTCGGGGCCGGGGGGGCCGCGGGGGCTCCGCTGCGCACGGCAGGAATTAACAGCGGCCGCCGCCGGAGGGTTGGCTTTTTTTTTTTTTTTTTTTTTTTTTTGAGTAGTCTTCCCCTCCTCCCCCCTTCCTTTTTTTTTTCCTCCCCCACACGATTTTTAAACCGAGTCCGGAGTGGCGGAGGGCGCGCGGCCGCGCGCAGGCTGACACATGGCGGGACCTGGCTCGCAGAAAAGAGGGAAAACAAAGCTGGCATGGGGGTRCCGAGCACCCCCGGAGCGGAACAGCCCCGATCCCCGGCCCTCTGCCCTCAGCCTCGGCCACAACACGAGGGACCGAGATGGAAGTTGATCCTCCGCAGTTTTCCGCTCCKAGAGGGTCGGGCTGCTTCATGTGGGGTTTTTTTTTAAACGTTTGCTGAAGGAGAAGACTTGGGTCGCTTCGTGGTTTATCACCGTTTCAAATATGGCCCTTTAAAGTATCTGGAAAGTTTTTTTCATAAGTACCTCAAACGGTAGGAAAAAGTTTGAGATGTAGTGAGAGAGCCTTCCTGCTGGTTGGAATCACAGTTATAATACAAATCAGCTGTAACMGATCATAGTTATAACATAGGTAGCTTAATTCTTTTCACTGGAAATACTGGTACTGCACATTGTTGTGCCCTTGCTATATATAATTTTCCTTTTTTTCTGTTTTGAACGCCTGGCCTGGTAATTCTTCATTGCTAAATTTCCAGTCTGCAGAATGACARCTAGTATCAGATTTTTTWA